TACTAACATGATGCATTTTGCAGAATTAATCAAACCTTGCTGAATGTTGTTCAGTGATTGCTACAATTATAACTTAAATCACTCAAGAATCTTAAATTTTTTCTTGAAAATTATTAGTAAATATATACATATATATTTAACTATTTATTGCAAAAAACATCAAATCCTATTTTTATATGCCACTTAAACATTTTTATCCATGTAATAACTTATTTAAACAACAATGTAAAGTTCTCATATATTTTGAAATATAGAAAAAATTGATTATAATGTAAATGTTTATATATTTATTATTATTAATTTTGTTAAAGGTAAGACAAGGTATGAAAATCAGCCAGCCTCCAGACATAGATGTTCCAGCTAATTTTGGACAATCAACTTTCTATTATATCATCGATCCTATAAAATCTTCTTCTCAAAGAGAGGATGTTTTAGATAATGGCATCACTGCTCATCATGTTTCTTATAAAAAGAGTGAAACCGAAACTGAAACTCTCATTATCATTGCTATCATATCAACAGTTGTTTTCTTAATTGTATTAGCAATTCTGATAGCAATTGCTGTAAGTAATTATTATTATTATTTTATTTTTTTAAAAAACACAGTGGTGGCAGGAATCTCTAGTAAATGAAAAGTACACATTCAGGAATATATTAATTTTTCTTTACTTCCTATTTGAACAATAGAGTTGTTTATAAATAAGATTAAATAAAAATTTGGATTTCATGTTAAGTAGAAAATTTCATACTTTAAAGTCTGCCATCAGCTATGTAAATGCATTATATACTGTATGTACATATTAGGAGTTTTATTTATAAAACAAAATCACTAAAACAGATCCATTACACTAAAACAGAAATATATTATTCTATTAATATTTTATGACTGTTTTTATACTGTTTAAATATCTTAAATTTATTTCTTCAGTTATCAAGAAAAGATAAAGATGAAAAACCTAAACAATCTATAATCAATCAAGTAAGTATAAACATTAAATACAAAATTTACATATACAGAATATGTCATTCTTTGATTGATAAATAAATCCAATGAAGTGTATTAACTTATATCTAATTAATCTTTCTGAATTTGTCATTTTAAAGTTCAATTGATTAGAAAGGAAGATGAAGAAATTTGAGAAATGACAGGTCTTCTGTCATTCTTGTATCTATCCAATCATAAAAGTAAAATGCATGTTATAATATAAGAATCCTATTTTTCTTTGATATTATAAAATATCAAAGAAAAATAAATTAAAAAATAAATATCAAAGAAAAATGTATGACTTCTTAAAAGATAATAAGCCATAAATAAAATTTAACAAACTATTACATGTATTGATAGCTTTTAAAGAATGACATTAATTTTCATTATCTATGGTTCAATCTTGTTATAAATATTACCATATTTATTATTATATAATTTTAATTTTTTTTGCAATTTATCTTAGGCGTTTTTCAATATGATTTATGCTCTAACTGGCAAAAAACAAGAAAGTAAAGTTAATGATGAAAAGAAAGAAGTGCAATTAGCCATACAGACAATAGAAGCACAGTATGAGAGCATAAAACAAAAAGAAAAAGAAGCAGAAGCCAATTGTCCATCAGAAACTTCAACATTTTACACAAATGTTAACGAAACTGAACAAGAAAAAGAAAAATGCTAATCACAAGATATTTAAAACATTTATGAACTAACAAATATTTAATAAAAAAAAATAAATAAATATTTGATCAAAGAATATATTTTATATGTTCAATTTAACCAAGTTTCTCAAATAGATGAATATCTCATGATAGTTTTACATTCCACACAAATCAGATATACTGTATAAAATATGCTTCCACACTTTTTATCTGACTGTTTAAATGGTCTTTTAATAAATTTCTATGGAGAGGTAATCAATTTTTAAAGTGTTTACAATAAGATTATGCCTTTGTTAACTATTGACAATGTATGATGATAAATCGTAAAAGTATATATGTATAATTTTGAGAAAAATGTAGACACCGAAGTACTATAGTTACAGTAGATATCTGTATTGATCTAGTTAGAGGTTCTTTTATGCAAATTTTGTTTTCACTTGTAATTTTTATACAAATATTTTCAATTAAAATCTTAAAAGTAGAAACTATAGTTTCTATCATCATATCAATATACATATATATATATATATTACAATTATACATCATATATATGTATATATACATAAACTGTACAATATAATTCAATTCCATGATGCGAATTGAAAAATTTTGTTTTATTTCTTTGTGAATTGTAATTTAATAAAATCAAATGGAATGTAACATTGCTTTAATTGTAGATAAAGTTTTGTAAAAAAAAAAAAAAGAAAAATANCTACATTGCTTTAATTGTAGATAAAGTTTTGTAAAAAAAAAAAAAGAAAAATATTTTTGTAGTGAAAGATAGTTGTCTACAAAGAAACTCTTTTTGTTTTACAAATTAAATCATATTTGGTTTATGTAATAAAATGACTACTTTAATAAATCATCCCAAAATGTTTTATAGTGTAAATGTCATCTTAGGCTATCTTTTTGGTAACAAATAATTATATGTAATGGGCATTTTCATATTATAAATTTTCATTCAAATTACAATTTATAAATCTAATATTTTGATAACTATATTATGACAAGAAACAATTTATAGGTTCAATTATATATGATATGATCTTATGCCATTTCTTGACATGTCAAATCAAAAGATGGCATACCATTGACAAACATTACATTTAAATACGTTACTTAATTTTATAATAAAACCAGTATGTAGATTTAAAATTATATTAAACTTGTATGAATGTGATCATAATAATGAATTCTCTCAAATCTAGCTTAAAGATGGGCAGAAAGAAAACCTTTATACAAGTAGACAGTAAGTAATTGCAAGTCTAACACACAATAATTATCTTTATTGAGGGGGGATGTTTTTGACAGTGCTGGCTATTGGCATGCTTTTTGTGACTTACTATTACAATCTACAATTCAACTGTTTGCTATTAATTGACTTTATTGAGGATGTCTTTTTCTACCATCATAATTTCTTTGTTAATTCTGTTCTTTTTACTTATTATTGGAGGAGTTGAACTTAATCCAGGCCCAATGTCTCACACACCACCTTCTCCCTATAATAAAGCTTCAACTTCTGCTGGTAAACATCATCAATTGTCAAGCAAACCAACATTGAAATTCTCTTGACTGGATGATTATTTTGCATCGCAGAATATTTTTACTCAAAATACCTCAGAAGATACTGTGTTAATCTTCTGCATCTGCATCTGATTTTCGTTATTAAATTTCATTTGGTGACAGTTTCACCATATTAACATTATATAAATGTTTTGTTCATATATCAACTTTAATCTAGCAATGTTATTTAACACCTATTATATCAAATAATAAAGATTGAATTATTTATTGTCTACTTGATAAATACAATCATAAAAATTTATTATTTTTATCATTTTTGTTATATGAACATTTTTATTAAATAATGCCATCTTTCTTCTTAATTCTTCTTCTTAAAGTAATTTGTTAATAAGAACTTGGAAATATAGTCATTTAGATATGTCTATACATTACGAAATATAAATACT